TACATGCAATGCCGTTACTGGTGTAGTCGTATCTGTGGTGTCAAAACTATTGCCGCGTGGAACCTGTACAGATTGCAAAATCCACTGCAACACGACAGAATGCCTGTTAGATCAGCGTGCAAATGTTCATCAGCTGCAGCGTCTCTTCCCCTTTATTTCCCCACAGGCCTTCTGGAACAATCACACGACTGTGAACAAAACACTGATGCAGACTGCTGCTAGCACGTATTTTGCTCTGCATACCCAAACTGGTGCCTATTGAATGTAAAACTGAGAAAGAAACTGTATTTATCAACCTCTAATCACCACTCGGGCCCCTAAGTTTGCAGAGAAAGATCAGATTTTATTTTATTTTCCAAAACATTACTCAGCTGCTTGTGCATGCCATAAAGGCAGTACATTTCAGAGTATGGGGAGTATTTTAAATGCCAGTCTTGATCTGCACATGTGACGTATAGCTCCAACATGCAGGAGCTCCCAGGCAAACGGATATCGTCTTCCATGCTTTGTGTTTGGCTTTTGGTGAAAGTGACAGGTGAACTCATGCTTGAGCAAGCAACTCCACCAAGAAACTTACATTCCGTAACACTATTCTATTCGTTTTAGGTCACAATACTTGCTGTCGGAGGACTTGTTAGTTCTTCAGTCCTCCCAAAGGCGGGGGAGGGAAACAGTGGAGCAGGGAATGAATAAAGTCTTGCTTGAAGTTAAGGGGGAGTCTTTTTTTTGGAGGTGCATTGTACGGGCCTCCTCCGTTGTACAGGCGCCAAATGGCAAAGAGCCTGGAAATCATGTAACTATGACAGCAACCACCTCATTATGAGGGAAATATTTGCCAAAGCAAATATAGGAAGCAATTGATGGTGGCATAAACATGAGATATTACTTTGAAAGGTTAGCGGATGAATCAAAGACTGGACCATCTTTAGAACTGGTGATTCAAAGAAGGCATCCTCTTGGAATCAACAAAAATGGGCTTTGATTCAACACAAGGACTCATTTTGTGTTTTACTGCACATCTTAACAGAATCATGTGCTTGTGACCTCCAATTTGCCTCTAAGCAGAAGAACCATGAGTCAAATAAAAGGAAGAAGAAAAACACATATCTGACTCTGTTTTAACTCTGTCCTCAGCTGACAAGTGGTTGATTAGCGGCTTGACGAAACACCCCTGCTGTTCCGTGGATCCTTCCTTTTCTCTGACTCAGGATGTGGGGTCACTGCACATAAAGTTCACCCACTATGATCTGTCACAGTGATCCCTGACGTAACATTTTCCAGACACCCTGCTTCAGACGGAGCAGGAATGCGCATCATTAAAGAGCACAAGACAGGCAGCAGATAAACAGCCAGATTAAATCAAGTCATGAAAGGATCTCTTTTAGTCATGAACTCATCACTGTAAAGGCTGATGATTAGTTTTCCAATAGTTGATTCCGATAGTTAGAAATCAAGGCAGCTGATGACTGATTTATGAAGTCCGTTTGTTTTGATGGAACTGTTTCATGTTCACACGGATTACATTTTAATAGATAAAGGAAAACAAAAAGGCAATTCAATCACCACTAAAGCCCATACCCATTTTTATCTGTTAAGCCAGTATCTCACTGGGCTGCGACTGCTGGAAGTAAATGAAGGGAAATTGCAAAAGAAGTCTCTAAAATATTGTTTGCATGAGCTGCAGAAGCTTGCATCTTGCTGCCTAAATTTTGATTATGTCCAAATTTCTGCACATTTATTCTCAAAATAGTCACAGAGTTGTAGCCGGTGGCTCAAACCTGTCTTGAACTCTTCTCAGTTTTGTTGTGGATGTCTTGAACCTAAAACCTTGTTCACTTTAGTTTCTGTACATTCTAGAGAGCTACAGCTGCGTGGGAGCTCCAAGACTTTAGCCCCAAACATCCATGTCTAAAACCCCATAGATAAGAACTGAGTTCAAAAATTAATAAACTGCCTGTCTTGATTTCAAACATTTACAAAGCTTTTCAAATTATAAACATGGAGGCGGTCGCCAAGATGAGTACAAAATGGGCCAAGTAAGGTATGAGCAAAGGTGGAAAATAAAATGTGCACGGCCTAAAACACACGTTTTCATGCCACATACAAAAACAGGCTCTTATTTTATGAAGACGCTGGTTGCAAACGCTCAGGATTCAGTAAGACTGCGGTTGAAAAGTTACCAATTTTCATGTAACTTTTGGTTGTCAACTCGACTCAAACTGTCACAAATAAGTGAGATGTTGCCTTTACAGTTTATAAGAACGACTAATGCAGTTCTGTTTATTTCCTCTCCAAAAGTAGCCTCCCATTTATAACCAACCGATTATTTATAGTTCTGAAAAATTCTCTGGTTAATACAACATTGTTCATTTGAAAGTTAATAGAAGATTCTGGTCATCTTCCTTTGGGGTCTGCTGGTGTCCTGAAAGGAACCCCTGACATGGGAAGCACATTGACTAAAGAGAATAATGTCAAGTGTTTTAATGTTTCATGTGTGTCTGCCTTCTTCTCAACTCAGTACGCTCAGCTGTAGCCGATGATGATCGTTTAAAAGACGGCAAAGATCAATCCGATGTTTCGGCTAACGAGCCAAAGAACTCCAGCATCAGTCCTACAATGATGCAACACTTTGGATCTGGTTTGAATCTAGAGCTGATGACCTACTGAACAACACCTTCACTGTGAATACAAAAGACGCTGACAAGAAGGTTTAAAGTTTCCATAAAGAAAAAAACAAACACTCACTTTTTGAGGTGAGGATTTGGTTAAAAGAGGAGAATGTTCCCAGTTTGAGTGACCTAATCTCTTGTTTGGCACGTGATTATAATATCTAAAGATGGAAAACTTGTGGTCCAAGCTCATTTTCTAACAGAAGTCCAATTATGGACACTTAACTTGAGTCAAAAATACAAAAAAATTGCAAAAATTTTCTTGTATTTTGGGCAATCTGCAGCAGAAAAATAAGCATAACCAAATTGATCGGTCTTCTCGTGAGGACTACTTTCTTTTGTGGATGAATATGAATCTCTTCAACCAATATGCACGATTTCTGTGAGATAAAGGTCCTCACAAAATCAAATCAGATGAGCGTTATACAACATCTGAATGACACGCTCGTGTCACGGCTTCGCACACGATCGGCTTCAACACATCCTGTTTGTTTTGGGCTGGACTGCATCACAGCTGATATGCGTTCGGTTTTCACAACTATTTCACACGAAACAGCCACGTGAGACCCCGAATGGCACTTTTACAGCAACACGAGTTTCCAAATGAGTCCCATCATGCACAACACTTTTTTTTAAAAATACAAATCAGAGGTCTTTTGACGAAGTTTGAATATAAAATGAGCGCTTTAGCCAGTAGACAATGCACAAAGGTTGATTGCTATGCAGAGTAATATCCTCTGTGAGACAGTGAATGAGGGTCTGTGGGGAATTAGTTTGCTGGGTATCCGCTATGAAACTTGCAATTCAGTGAACTTGTCTCTCTCGCTCTCTCTCCACATGAAGAGCCACTGAAGTCGCACAAAGGACCGGCTCCAAATTAGGAGCACAAAGGCGCTTCTGTGGGAGCTTCAGAGTGAATTAATGAGCATTGATACACTTTCTCACAGCGTTCCCCCAGAGCCTCAGCTGCACCGTGGCAAACAAAGCAATCAAACAAATACAACGCTGACAGAGTCCAATTAAACAGCTCAAAATGACAGAATAAAAATATTCAATGCAATTAAAGTAGCATTTTTTTTGCATGTCACCTGCCATCTTGAATATCAAAGTTGCAAACAATAATCTTGTGCAATCTGTTAGTGCTCAGAGTATGTGTTGGAGATGGCTTTTGGTTACGTCCACATCAAAGTTGAGCTCAATAGCTATAAAATTGACCAAGTTATAGACATTTATGTCTTTTTTAAAGTTGATTAGCTAGTTCAGCCATCTTGAATTAGGTTGAAACTGAAAGTTGAATCAGTTGCAGATGTTCATCTAATCAGAACTTCTTGAGAGTTTTGTTAAAACATTAAGTGGTCTGTGTGATATTTTGCTAACAGTTGGGGTTGACTCCAACAGCTTGTGTCCATGTTTTAAATTATTATCTTGCTCAACCTGTTTGTATTTAAAGTATCCAACAGAGATGACTCTCAACTACTACCAAACCAAACTTTAGCTCCATATTAGTAAAACTAACCGAGTTATAGTCATTTTTGTACTTTTTCAGGTTGATTACCAGCACCGGCGAGCTCGAATCCAGTTAACCCCAAAAGTGAAACAGTTGTAGAGGAACAGCCAGTAATTCATTTCTGAATGTTTCAGTAAAATTAATCCAGTAGTCCATTAGCTATTTTGCTAACAGACAAAATAACTACAACAGTTTTACAGTTTCATACTGCAGGACTGGTTCAACCATGCAGACCTGTTATAATTTAACATGAATAAAATACCTTCATGATAAGTTTTTTCAATGCATTTGTAACTTTTTATTCAGTTTGCATGTCGAGAGCCCACATGGTGAACACTTAAAGATGTCAGCCTCACAGCTCAGCTATTCATTGCTTTTTACAAGTTGAGGTCTGGAGCCGAGGGCATGTTGATAATCTTAAAATTAAAAAGAAAATAATAGGTATCCCCTTCCTCCCAGTAGCTGTCACGTGATCACTCAGTTCTAATCCCAATCAATGGATGTTGATGAAAACGCGCACCAGGCGTGGGGCTTCCTGTCCTCCTGAAGGGAGACAAGCTGACCTGGGGTTAACACCTCCGCAGACCTGCTCAGAGGTGACTGGAGGAATCTCCATAATCTCTGCTTAATCCCTTTCCTCCAGTTGCTTCAGCTGCTCCTGGAATCAGGTCAACATTCTGCGCAACTTGTGGAGAAACTTCGCTCCAGGGAAACGCAACAGGCGAGATGACAACAACTAGGAGGTGGAGGAGAGGCGTTTTGGACCGCGCTGTCATCAGGAAAACTCTAAATCCATGTGTTCGGCTGATCTGAGGAAGACTTACCCATGACGTCGAAAAGTTTCTCCAAAAGTGCACGAAAGTAAAGATGAGCTGAAAGTTGCGCCCCAGCTGCACAGACGCCGCGTCCCCGGGATGAACACGCTGACTGACTGACTGCGGGCTGCGTGCGCGGAACCACTGCGTCCCCGCTGAGGCTGCGTGGTGACGTCACCGCACGGGGGATTACAGGGAGGGAGGACGTCGGCCTCTCCCCTCCTCCACATCAAGAAGTCCAGCAAACATGTTGAGATACTGTTGTCACAAATAAACACCATGTTTCTGTAATGTTTCAGCAGACTCAAAAACCTCTTAAAGGGACAGTTCTTCTATTTAAAGGGAGGTTTTGTGGGAATGTTATGAGCAATAAATAGTTTACCTGTTGCAGGTAACTCTCAGAATGACCTCAGTTTGGACAGAGCAAAAAACACAGTGACACGAGTATTTAAGATTATTTTTAGGGCTGTCAGTGTTCATTCAGCCTTTATTTATACAGCTTAATCCCATTGACCTTCAGGGACTCGTTTACAAACCAGGTTTCTTTAACAAAAAGTGATGCGATTAACCTAGAAAGATTAACTCCTTAATATTACATATTGCAGATAAATCCATTACTATACTTATATGTTTTGATCACATAGATGACACTTAATGAGACATTTGAGTTAACATTTATAAATTAATAGGGGTGCACTGATTGCAGTTTTCTGGCCGATCACCGATTTCTAAAAGTCTGACCTGCCAATTCCAGTTTTGGCCGATACCAATTTTGTTTCATAAGCAACACTGTCAGGGGTTATAAGGTCACAATGCACCTTCAATTGTCCAATATTATTTTGTTGAAAAACATACACTTGAACAATATCCTACCTAAAACCATACAAACATGTTTTAACTGGCCATGAGGTAGTACTCTGAAATATAAATGAAGTTTAGATAATGGTTGTTATAACTGAAAACATCAGTAAAATTGGTTTCTCATGCCAGTATCGTCCGATTTCCGATTTCCCAAAATTAAGGAAACTGGGGGTGATAAATTGAGGCCGATTTATTGGTGCACCCCTATAAATTAATGTTTGAAACAAAATGACTTCTGTAAACCTTGCTGAGTATGAAAACCTTGAAAACTGTTTGGTTTGAGACAATAAAACATTTTCTTCTACATTTTATGAAAACCTGCATATTTACATTTCAAGCTTGCAAAGTTAAGTATATTGATTAATAGTGATTAATCACAGCCCCAGAGTGTGATTAATCTGATTTTTAAAAAATGTATCGATTGACAGCACTGTTTATTTTACACATGAAGACAATCCCATCAAAATACAAACTTTTATTTTTTTGCATTTTACCTGGTTTAACGTCATTGCGACTATAACAATAATAATATTCTGTCCACCTGTTCACATAAAGCTAATACAATCTCTGTAAACTATAATATTACAAGTAAAATAATGAGGAACTTCATAATGGTATGAATTTTGTCATCTATCTTTTGGTCATATGGAAAATAAATCAACACTCAGTTGAACGTTCTGTTTAAAGCGACGCAAATGAGAAATAAAATGGCCAGAGGTCATGCCACAATTAGCAAACAGAATATTGATGCAAAATGGCTCCAAGTATGGCAAAAAAATTAAAAATAAATAAATAAAAAGACTACAAAGACAACAGACTCAAAGCAAAGTTTTCTGTAAATCTGTATCATTTATTTATTTATTAGCCTTTATTTAACCAAGTAAATCCCACTGAGATCACAGATCTCTTCTGCAAGGGGGGCCTGGGCCTGACGGCAGCCTAACATGCATGTTTCTGGTCTGTAAGAGGAAACCGGAGTATCCGGAGAAAACCCACGCAAGCATGAGAAGAACATGCAAACTCCACCCAGAAAGACCCCAGGTCCAACCTTTATATAACTGAATAAATAAAGATGTGAAGACAATCTATACACGTGTCGGTAAGGGCATTCAACATAAAACACTTTTGCCACAACTAATATGCGAGTTCATCTAAGCACCGCCATACTGGATCGGTTGAGGCCCGGGTAAACAACGACCGCCACCAGTGCTGTTGACAAACAGGGGGGCCCGTGGAAATTGTGCTACTGTTAATCAAAGAACACGAGGAGGGAAAAGTGTCAGGAGACAGAGGGAGAAGAGGAAAGTCAAGAACGTCAACAATGACAGACAAAGGTAATGAGCTGGCCAGCATGATGCAGAGAAGGAAGGTAAATGTTTTATGTGCACAAGAGACCAATTGGAAGCACAGCAATGCTTGCAGAATTGGAGCAGGGTTTACCATGGTGTGGGTAAATGGAGTAGGGGTCCTGAAGGCGGAATTGGCAAAGAATGCAGGAGTGAAAAGAGTGTCAGACAGGGTGATGTGAAGGTAGAAGGAGAAGTTCTGATGCTGTCAACACTGTGACTGGAATTTTGTCACAGATTAATAATTCAGTTCTTAAAGCTTCTCATGCAAAAACAATGATTTTCACTTACACCTTCACTGAGGGAGAACAAGTTCAAGTTTCTTTGTCATTCACATCACATGTGGTACATGAGGTGGAACAAAATTATGTACTCAGGGTCCCAGTTACACCAAAAAAATAGCAAAAAAAATATGAAGTTTAAAAAAATAAACAGTTTATAAGGAACACTAAAATCAATTTGGGATGTTTTATCTCCACCCCCCTCCCAGTATATTTTTGCACTTCTTAAAAGTTCCTGTACTGAATCATGGCTGGCAACAAGCAATGTTCAAATGTTCTGCAGGTGTGAAGAGTTGTCTCTGGTTGGTGTAGCATCAGTTTATCACTGGATACCTCCATATTTATGTGTGAGGTGTGTGTGTGTGTGGGGGGGGGGGGGGGGATGTGCGTGTGAATAGATGATCTGCATGGGAACCTTCCAGCAATGTGCTGGCTGTTACAGCAGCTGGCTGGAAAAACATCAGTCATCAGACAAAACCAGTTCATCTCTTATCATACTGCAGACACAACCATTTGCAGAGAAAACACTCATGGAGGGACAATCTAACTCACAGCCGACTGCAGATTGTTTCTGACCATGTTTAATACCTAATTACCAATTAAGAAGCTAATAACATCCTATTGTTAAACATTGTTTATTTAAATAACTCAAATTCAAGCAAGGCTGTTGGATTAAATAAAAACTGTACACTAGAAAAGTAGCCCTGTTAAAAGTGAATTTGTTCCACAACAACAAAAGCAAAGGTGTGTGTCTTTTTTTTTTTTTTTTTTGGGGGGGGGGGGGGGGGGGGGTGGGGCGTTTAAATTCAAGTTCAAGTTGTGTTTATTTGTCATAACACAAGGTTAACAGTACAACTAAATGTTTAGAATTACAAGAACCGATTTGACTAGTTTAAGAAAAAAATCAAACAAAGAAATACTAAAAGCATGTAATAAGGGTAAACAATAAAAAGTACCAAAAAGTGAAAAAGTAATTGTAATATTTACAACGTCCTAAAGAGAGATAGTAAACAACAACATGGTCGAATATAACAGTGCAAGCAGGGTGAATTTAAATGAATGAGGATTCCAAGGTAGTAATATAATACAGATAAGCTAAAATGCACATTGTATATATATATATATATATATACACACATATATATATATATACACACACACACACACATAGATGAATATAAGTATTTGAACACCCTGCGACTTTGCAAGTTCTCCCATTTAGAAATCATGGAGGTGTCTGAAATGTTCATCTTAGGTGCATGTCCACTGTGAGAGACATAATCTAAAAAAAAAAAATCCAAAAATCACAATGTATGATTTTTAAAATAATTTATTTGTGTGTTACTGCTGTAAATAAGTATTTGAACACCAGTGAAAATCAATGTTAGTATTTGGTACAGTAGCCTTTGTTTGCAGTTACAGAGGTCAAAGGTTTCCTGTAGTTTTTCACCAGGTTTACTGCAGCAGAGATTTTGGACCTTTCCTCCACACAGATCTTCTCTAGATCAGCCAGGTTTCTGGGCTGTCGCTGAGAAACACAGAGTTTGAGCTCCCTCCAAAGATTTTCTATAGGGTTTAGGTCTGGAGACTGACTAGGCCACTCCAGAACCTTGATATGTTTCTTACGGAGCCACTCCTTGGTTCTCCTGGCTGTGTGCTTCAGGTTATTGTCATGTTGGAAGACTCAGCCACAACCCATCTTCAATGCTCTAACTGAGGGAAGGAGGTTGTTCCCCAAAATCTCGCAACACATGGCCCCGGTCATCCTCTCCTTACTACAGTGCAGTCGTCCTGTCCCATGTGCAGAAAAACACCCCTAAAGCATGATGCTTCCACCCCCATGCTTCACAGTAGGGATGGTGTTTTGGGGATGGTACTCATCATTCTTTGTCCTCCAAACACGGCGAGTGGAATTAAGACCAAAAAGTTCTATTTTGGTCTCGTCTGACCACATAACTTTCTCCCATGACTCCTCTGGATCATCCAAATGGTCATGGGCAAACTTAAGACGGGCCTGGACGTGTGATGATTTAAGCAGGGGAACCTTCCGGGCCATGCATGATTTTAAACTATGACGTCTTAGTGTATTACCCACAGTAACCATGGAAACAGTGGTGCCAGCTCTCTTCAGGTCATGGACCAGCTCCTCCCGTGTAGTTCTGGGCTGATTCCTCACCTTTCTTAGGATCATTGATACGCCACGAGGTGAGATGTTGCATGGAGCCCCAGTCCAAGGGAGATTGACAGTCATGTTTAGCTTCTTCCATTTTCTAATAATTGCTCCAACAGTTGATCTGTTTTTCACCAAGCTGCTTGACAATGGCCCCATAGCCCTTTCCAGCCTTGTGGAGGTCTACAATTTAATCTCTGGTGTCTTTGGACAGCTCTTTGGTCTTAGCCATGTTAGTAGTTGGAGTCTTACTGATTGTGTGGGATGGACAGGTGTCTTTATGCAGCTACCGACCTCAAACAGGTTCTTCTAATTTAGAATAAGAAGTGGAGGTGGACTTTTTAAAGGAGGACTAACAGGTCTTTGAGGACCAGAATTGTTGCTGATTGGCAGGTGTTCAAATAATTATTTGCAGCAGTAACACACAAATAAATTATTTAAAAAACCATAGATT